TGGCATATAATACTGGGCCTGATGAGGCTGCTTTGAGGCCCTCCTTAGTAGTGCCGCACACCTGAATTGGCCTCCATTTTGTTTGCGCGATGATTTTATTTCGGGGGTTAGCGACAGGGCTAATCAGTGCACCGCGGGGTAGGGGGGGTGATGGAGCACGGAGGGGAGGGGGGTGATGCTCGAGGCTGTGCGGCAGTGCAGCGGGAGACCACCAGACTGGTTTAATTTGCAGTTTGACTTAATTATTGAGAGTGACTGTGCAAAATAGCAATAGCGCGTCGTGATTGCGAGACATTATTATTCATAGTTAATTAGAAAACATATCGAAAATGAAACAAAAGCGTACTAAACCTAGACCATTTCTTTTTGTAACCTGCTAAGTGAGCAAGCAATTGGCTGTGTTTGTTAAATCGTTGATATGTGGCATCACTGTCAATTATGTTGTGACAGGAAATTAATATGATAGCAACTCCAGCTGCCTCAGTGGAATGTCAATTAGGGTGTTACCACGCTAATGCTAGCTGCTACATAAGAGTGGCACATTAGCAACTAGGTGTTAGCTTTAAGCAGATTGGACTGCAAAGCGAACCCTAGTTAACTTGTGTAATTACCAGAGGTGGAAACTTGCTAGATATATTCTCTCAAGCCATTTGCATAAGTATGTAGGCTAGTTAGAAGTAGTGTTGGGGAGTAACAGATTACATGTACCGGAGTTACGTAATCAGAGTACAGATTATGAGTAACTGTATTCAGGTACAGTTACTGTTTCAGTGAGTGGTAATTGGATTACAGTTACTTTGTTGAAATAAATGGATTATATGTAGGGTGACCATATTTCCATTTGTGAAAACCCGGACACCTTACCGGGGGGGAGATGGGGCCTCGACACTGAGCTACAGTCGTCCCTCGTAATATCGCGGTTCACCTTTCATGGTCTCGCTGATTTTTTTATTTTTTATTTTTTTTTAACCCATGGGTGGGTCAGGACTAAACCAGGTCTAAACCAGGACTAATCTTGGACTTAAGAGAGAGAACGCCGAGCAGTTTGTCTGCAAAGCGCGATCAGGCAATTGCCGCGTTTAACTCCGTGAGCTCTCCCTCGGTCCCTTCTCCTGCGCTCATCCCAACACTGACTCCTGGTTCAGTCCTGGTTCAGTCCCGGTTCAGTCCTGGTTCAGTCCTGGTTCAGTCCATGGCGTAGGCAGCGCAAAAGCTTGATATAATCACGGGTTAACGGGTGGCTGTGGTGTCGTACTGCAGGTATCCAAAAATGGACCCGTGCAGGACCCTGCGCTGTAGGGCTCTATTATGGAATACATGAATCTTGGGTTCGTTACATAAAGAAGGAGGAAAATAACAAAAGGACGACAGCAGCAATAAGTTTGAAGAAGGATGCAAAAAGGGTTGTAACTGTCCTGTGTGAGAAAAGTGTATAAAGTGTGTGGTGAGGGGTTTTACAGACTTAAAACAGATATAATAATTGTAAAATATAAAGTTGACTACTTCGTGGATTTCACCTATCGTGGGTTATTTTTAGAACAGAACCCCCGCGATAAACGAGGGACACTGTACTCTCACTCGCAACCTGTGCACATGTCCTCTCACTTGTCCCGACCGGGATGGAAAACTGAGAATTTCTTGTACATGTCATTGTTAAATGCGCATTTACGCTTCAGTATGTTGCAGGCTCAGAGAACTACGAAAGCCGATCAATTTAAAGGTTGTATAGAGGATTTTCCAAGGAACGAGAAATCCAGCGACTGTTTGTCCTTTTTCAAATGTTGCGCATGCGTGAAACCACCCCCCCTCCCCTACAGCTCCCTACGTAGAAACGCCTTCTCCCTCCTCCTCCTTAAGCCAGAAACAGGTTTGTTTACAGCCGGTGCGCTGCACATGACTTGTAAACAACTAACTACAGTGTTGGTTAGGCAAGGTGGTGGTGGAAGTGAGGAGCGGGGGGAGGGGGGGCGCGGACATTTCGTTCGCGGACGAGAAGTGAGGAGCAGGGAGAAGAGCGGAGCAGGGAGAGGAGAGAGGAGAGGGGAGCGGTGCGCGGAGATTCCATGCCCGGAGAAGTGAGGAGCAGGGGGAAGAGCGGCTCGGGCAGCGGGGACAGGAGCAGGAAAGGGTGCAGAGAAGGGTGCGTGGAGATTCAGTGCGAATGAACTAGCTACAACACACAGCAGCAAGCGGACTCTTTCTTTGCCTTGAAAATTACGTTTTCAGACATAGGATATCGCTTTCATGTCCTGAAAAACGTTTGTCTGGCTCTTGGAAATAAAGTACGTTTTCATAATAAGCAGAAGTGACCTGTCCAGGAGTAATTTGGCCACCAGTGCGTCAGTCTTTAGACCCTGCGTCTGCTTCAGTCGCGCCATCGCTGGAATGAATCTATAAGAATCACCTTAGTTTGGCTTTGCTGCTTTTCCCCTTGTCTTCTTCTTTCAGCAGTCTCAAAAATTTACTTTCTTGTGCGGCTAACTGCTCCTGGATTCTTGTCGCCATTGCAACAAACTTTGTGCTAACTGCGAGGAAGATATAGGTAAAAAAAAGCCGCTAAGAACTGTTGCGTTGGTGGCGTAAACAGCGTCTGTGCGTCTTGCGTCTGTGGACTACGTGACAGGTGTACGCAAACCACGTAATGGCAGCGTGCAGGCAAGTCAGTTACGCTAGAAACGTAGGGAGTTTGATTGACAGCCTGTCAGCTAACAGATAACGAGGCAGTGTCGTTATCTATTGGCAAATGTTTAGCTGGCCCCAGTTGATGAATTTTTATTCTCTTTTTTTTTTGGTCATCATAATTTCAAGGCTACTGCACCTCTATAATGCTATCATTGACAACTTGAAACAAAAAAAAATCCTCCATACAACCTTTAATGCCCCCAATGAACTGTAATGAAAACCCGGACATTTCCATCACTTTAAAAAAAAAACCTGGACGCCCAGGACAAGACGAAAAATACGGACATGTCCAAACCAAGTCTAAACCAGGACTAAACCAGGACTAAACCAAGACTAAAACCAAGTCTAAACCAGGACTAAAACCAAGTCTAAACCAGGACTAAAATCAGGTCTAAACCAGGATTAAAATCAGGTCTTAACTAGATCTAAACCAGGACTAAAACCAGGACTAAACCAGGTCTTAACCATGTCTAACACAGGATTTAACAAGACTAAACCATGTCGCGCGGACCGTGTCTCCTCCTCTTCTATCAATAATATTTTTAATATGGTTCAGTAAAGTCTGGGCTTTTTATTTTCTTTTACCAGATAAAACATCTCATGTTAAGATATCCTAGTCTTTGATTCTCTACAGCAAATCAAGTAATCCAAAGTATTCAGATTACGTTACTCACTGGAAGTAACTTAATGGATTACGTTACAAACTACATTTTGGGGTATGTAATCTGTAATCTGTAGGGGAATACATTTTAAAAGTAACCTTCCCAACACTGTTTAGAAGCAGGCAGAGTTAGCATTATTTAGGAAAGGCAAGTTTATTTGTACAGCACAATTCGTACACAAAGTAATTCAAAGTGCTTTACAGAATAAGAAAAACATTAAAATTAATAAAGAGAGAGACATTAATTACTTAAATTAGAGAGAGGGCTGGATATCATTAAGAAGTTGCCGATACGATACATACCTCGATACACTTTTGCACTTTCAATTCGATACGATATATTTCAAATTGATTCGATATGGTTCAATAAAAAATAAAGGCTAAATCATGGTTGTGATACTAAAAGTCTTTGTTAAACCACTATTTATGCAAAGTGAATATGAAACACACCCATTTTAATCCTCAAAACAGTGAAAATGTCAAATGTGTCGTGTAAATGAGTTTCCTTCCTCTGAACAAATGACAAAACTGCAGCGCTGTAGCAAAATCATTTAGTAAAATATACCAAAAAATACTCTTTGGCTGCTGTATATCGATACAGCAGCCCACGATATCGACACTGTATCATCAAATTAAATGATACGATATATTGATATTTTAATATTTTTGCACATCCCTAGTATTATTCATGTACAACAATAGGGTGACCAGATTTTCTAAATTCAAAACCGGGACACACAGTGATTAGGATATTTGGTGTACATAAAACTGTGAAAAGAGCGTAACATTGTGCATTCTCATGTCTGAGGGACCTCTATCACTGCATTTTTTTTTTTTTTTGCTTTATGGTCATTTGCAAGCATGGTTTTCTGTATTTTGGCTAAACAAATGACAATTTATGCTCCTCTTTACTGTTGGCAGGGATCAGAGTAGTCAGAAATTGTGATAGTCCTGTTTAAGCCCTAATTGAGACCTGATGTAGTCCTGGTTTAGACTTAGTTTAGTCTTGGTTTAGATCAAATTGGTCAAAAATAGGGACACCTCTTGTATAAAACTGGGACAAATCACTGGTTTTGTATAAATCTGCTAGGACAAGGGACAAAAGGCTCAAAACTGGGACTGTCCCGGATAAATAGGGATGTCTGGTCATCCTATACAAGTTAAAAGAATTAATCATAAACATCAGGTCATGACAGGGCTCATAGTTCACTCTTAGTAAGACAAAAGAATGGATTAGGTAAAACCACTCTAGATATTTCTTCAAAAAGGTACTTATGTAACTGTAGCTCTCATTAGCTTTCAGTAAATTGTAAAACTAGTTGCTGCATTGTTAGAGTGTATTAATATTAGTTGTAAAAAAATATTTCTAAAATGGTAGAAAGTTTGGCCAGGCAGTGGCAATGGTGGAGGTAGGTTTTTTTCTACAGTGAACACATTTGCACCTTTATTTTTGAGCACTAGATTTCTCAAATTTGTACTATTTCATGATGATAAAAATGATCTAAGTAAAAGTAAAACAAAAAGTCCTTATTCCAGCTAGTAAGTACTACTGGAATACAGCTTCTCGTGTCAAATGTCTTGTGTCTATCTCCTTATCCTTGTCTTGCTTTATTTCTTATACATGTTCTTTATTTTTGTTTCACTCTTTTTCATCTAGATGCTCCCACTACTATTCCTACACCCACCACCAACCCAGTCAACACACAAGGTACTGTATGCCCCCTCCCTATTGTCCCTAATACAACCATGTGTGGATGGAGGAGTGCGTGTGCTGCATGGCCATAGCGGGGGATCACTGAGAAATAATGGGAGCTTGTAGTAAAGGTTAGAGCCACTGCGTATGAGCGGTTTTAATCAGATAGAGCTGCTGATAGGTGACACTGAGGGACAGGCAGTCAGTCCTTTCCACTCACACATTTGATTTGAGCAAAAACTGCCTTGGCTTTTGTGCTATCTTATCAGCATCTGCAGCAATATCTCAACCGGCCTATCCGTCATATTAGAATGCCCTTTACATCTCTCCCACAAACGCCAGTTCAAAGGCATCAATGACATATTCTCAAAGACATACCAAATGAATGGAAGACACTTAATTTGTTTAGAGTAGAGCATGTTTTTGGCTTCCTACATGCTACTTTGATCTAGAAAATGTACACAGATTAAGGGCTTCATATGGAAGCTGCATATTAGACATGTGGGGCAACTGCAGATGGTCCTGATTTGTTTGATTGGTGTATTATTTAATTAACCAAAAGGAGTGTTAATCTAAGCCTGACATTTAGATGTGTCACCATGTACCATTTTAAATAGAAAAAAATCAATGACTAAGTAAAGAGAGAGTGTATTTTTTTCTATTCCACAGAGTTTGTGAGCTGAGCAGCAGTTTGTTTCTCAATAACTGAACTGAAATTAGCTCTGTATAGTATAAAGGCTGTATTATAAGTATGTGTTTTCAGTTGTAAATGATTAATTGGTTGATTTGATCAGTGTGCTATATATGAGTATGTGTGGGTATAGCTGAGCAAAAAGCTCCTGACTCATTCCTTTTCCTGCTTTTTATGATGATCTTGTTGTGAACCCTACTTCCGGTTCAAGTCTCCGCCTCAGTGCATTTAGTCTGAGGAGATGCGTCACTATTGGCTGTGATGGTACAGACACTATGGGCGGCATCAGCCAGCTCTCAGTGTGGCGTCAAACAGGAAGTGCTTTCTCAAAGCTTTCTTGACTCTGCATTTTAAATATAAGCTACAGATGCACCTTCTCCCGGGTTTCTGCTGCAGCATTCAAGTCATTTTCCAAAGACAGGCCTGAAAGAGGATTTACCATGATTTATGCAGTACATGCTGGGAGGATGTAATTGAGCTTTCTTGCAGTTCACTACTCTTCTAAATACCCTGTCACAGGGGCAAAGCTAAGCTGGCTGGCTGTAGATTGCTCCGCACAGCCTTAATCAGCATACAGCACCGTATAGCATATTCCTGTTGCCATTAAGGAGGTATACAGCCCGATTTCGTATTCATCCGTCTGGAGGGGCGTGTGAATAGGAGCAGACACTTTACCACCAGTGGAGCTCTAATCAGAGGCCACTCTGCAGCGCACAGCCAATCAGCCATTGTTCTTATGCATTATGTTCTGGACACACTATAATGATGGCAATGTGATTGAACAAAACAACATTTTAAAAAGTAGAACTGGCCATTAAGTGGATTACATACTGGGTATCTGATTAAAAACATAGGCTGTTTTTTTTTTTTTCTTAAAATGTGATGCTACATTTTTCACTTAAAATATAAATAGCACTTTGTGACATGTTTTGACAGAAAGAATGTCGCTAAATGCTGCTTTTTCTATAAAGTTGTATTTGCAGAAGCTTGATTTTTTTTTTTGTATGGACCGAACCCCCGTTATCCATCTCTAGAAGGTGCAGAGAAATATTGAATAGTGCAGACAACATGATTCAATATTAAGTGTAAATTTGAGGCTGAATTTAGACAGGCAAACTGTGCAGATGGTTATGCTAAGAAAAACAGTGCAAGTGGGTGTAGACCTCTTAGGGGCCAACGTCTCCTTTCTTCCTTCTTTCTGTGTTATATTTACTACAAATCAAAAAGCTTTTAGTTGACATCGTGTGTCAGAAAAGATGAAGGAAGACGTGTTTGACTTTCCCTCACAACAACCTGTGCACACAAGTCAGACTGCTGCTCTAAACCAACGCAGGCAGCACCAATCTTAACAAGAAAAGAAACTTGTGCGGTGCGTGTTTTTCAAGATGGACACCAAATGGCTACAACCAACATCAGAAAGGAAAAAATTTAGCCTTCTACAAGTTCTTTTGGATTTCTTTTGGGCAGAGGGTAGAATTTAGCCACAATCCACAGCTTTGAGGGAATAAGAGGAAGCCTGTGGCAATACTGCTCCAGCTCGTCAGATGCTCTGAGCTGATCTGAGGCAGGGACATCATATCCTGGTTAAGCCCGCACTAACCCACCCCCCTCTCCTCCGCTTCTCTCAGTCCCAAACATGTCTTCTGCAGCCAGACCAAAGACTCTGGACAAGGAATTATGGGAGAGTGGGGACTGAAAGGAGTCAATGTTTTTTCATTGCTGTTCACTGCTGTAGGCCAACTCTATCCCAAAATAAAACGTATTGCACTACTCACGAATAGTCAGCTTTGAAATCTGGTTGTGAATTAAAACAGACCTTGCTACAATGTGTGCTGCAGAAGGTAGTGGGGATTAAAATATTAGTACAAGTTGCGATAATTGCAGTAGTTGGATAGTAGTCAGTAGTTAAAACATGAAAAACAAGTTAATTTTAAAACCAGTGGTCCAAAGTTATTCCTCATTTACCAACAAGAGCGGAGTTTTGCTGTTATGGTAAAGCTAATAACTAGAGATGTTTATAGAATAAATCTGTAATGGGGATTAGAGATAGGGACATGAGGGACAGACACATAGGAAAAAATATACATGGACATATCCCTCAATATTTCAGTATGTATTGGCCTGGATTTTTTATTTTAAAGGCACATTCTGTAACTTTTCTGGTGAAGGGTCCATCATATGCTTTTCTCCATGTTTCACAGTATAGTATTAATAATTTTTATCTTTATGAACACCAAACTAGACCAAGTTACTGGTCAGATCAGTGGAGAAGTGACCCTGCTTACTCTCAGAATGCCTGTTTTTCTTGGTATTTTTAAGCAATAAAACCATCAGTAATGTAATAAATAATAGGTACAGCTGTTTAATGGCATACTGTGGAATATTTAAGGCAGAGCAATGACATATCCATTGAAACAAGCAGGTGATGGAATCCCATCCAAAAAGTTACATAGTGCACCTTTAATAAAAGTGATAGTACCTTTTTGTTTCAGTCAAGATTTTACTGCAATTGAGAAGTTGTACTAATAGTAAAACTGTAGTAGTGCTTGTAGCAGTACACTGCTAGTTACATCAGCCCACAGGTGAATAATGGTATGAATAAAATGTAGTGAAGTGTGCATCTACATTTGGAAAAGACAGAAAGGTGAAATTATTTAAACGGTTCCAGCGGGCAGACTTTGGAGAGTGCCAGCTACAAACTCTACTCTTACTAACACTGTGCCCCATTAGACCTGCCTCTGCATTGATTTTTATTGCATACTTGGCATTTGCAGATCTCTGGGCTTTTAACATTCTGAACACGATGTATGGATCACTTCGGGTGGTTCCCAAACCTTTGTTCTCTTCACAAACAAATGGTGATTTTTTTCTAGTAAGCAAAACAGAAGATCCAGCCCCAGATGGTATTTTAGGAAACCTCTTGCGGCATATTTTTTACATGTTATGTTTTCTGCTCCTCTGCTGTTGCTCATGTGAGGTGTTGGCAGTTTTCCAAAGCTGTTTAGTAATGGGATTTAAGACTTTCTTTTAACAAATTCTGACTGCATTTTGTATTCAACATAATTAAACATTTAGAAAATTGTCTAAACCCTTTGCACGTATCATTGTGCTTTGACGTATCCCTTGAAAAAATTAAAGAAGTGTTTAAAAATAATTATTATTTGTTTACTCTGATTCCCACTTGGAATTGACCTTTTTATTCTCTTCTTTTAAACAGATACTAAGGGAAGAAAATACAGTAAAAGGCAGTTTTAATTGGTCTCTGGAGAATAGGTTTGTGATGCCAGCCCACCCTGAAAATTAAAACCACTAATAGTGTTTTGAGGAAACGGTTGTGAAAGATGATAAGTTCTCTTTTGGCACCTTGGGTTAGATTTACCTGTACTGTGCCAGGGTCTTCTTAAATGAATACAGCTACTTTGAAGGTAATACTGTATTTAGTCTTGGGAATACTGCATAGGTGCATAAGTGACACATACACAGTGGATGTGTTTATTGGCAGATAGTGGTTGGCTTGTTGGTTATTGTGTTGTTCTACGTCAGGAGTGGGAAATATGGCAACAAATTAAGATCACAATTTTCTTGGAGCCAGATCACAAATTCAGTATTATCATTATTTGTGTTGGCTTGAATAAATAATCTGCTTTTTCAAGTCCAAACTTCACTGTGATTGGCTGACCTATAGAAGAAAATGTGTCTGTGTTTGCGCAGACAGTTGCATTAAAGGTGCAATGTGGAATGTTTTTTGGGGGGGGAGGTTCGTCACCTGCTTGTATTTGTGGATAAGTTATTGCTTGAAATGTTCCACAGTATTGCATCAACTTATATAACTTGCATTTATTCAATTTTCCTGTCTGTTTCTTGAATGTTTACTGAGAGCAGGGTCACTTATTCACAGATCTGACCTGTAACTTGCTTGACATCAGGGAGATAGATGTTTAATGTCATACTATGGGACATTTCAGCAATAGCATTTCCTTGGAAATGAGCAGACAACCTTTCACCAGAAAAAGTTACACAGTGCACCTTTAGATAAAGAAACAGTCAGTCACAATATGACCAAAATAGAAGAAAGTCACAGGGATGAGATTAAAATTTTTATATATCGTTACCGTAATAGCATAGTTGTCTAAGTCATATTTGAAAGTTTTCAGAAAACAAGAAAAAACATATTTTTAGGAGGCACATTGGTATTTTTTATTAATATTCTATAGAGATGACTAAAGGCAGACTGATTTTAGACTCGAACAAGCGTTCTGATAGGCTGAGGACATAGGCAGTAAGGCAGGGTGCTACAGCAGTGGTAGCAGAGAAAAGTTAGGCA